CGGGATCCGCCTGCGGGGGCCGGTAGATAGTTACGATTTCGAGGGACTGAGATCCCCGCGCCTTTATAGTCAGCCAAATTGCCTCTGTGTCGTTAGAAATCTTGTCGGTCCTCTCACACACTGCTAAGTCAGCGTGTAGTACGACCACGGAATTAGCTCCCAAGCGAAATAGAGACATCTGACACAATGGTTGTATTCAAAAGGCTGTTAGATCACCGGATCTTTGATAAACGACGACTCTCACTGCAGGACTATCCGCGGCCAGCCATGAACTTTCATTTCTGATTTCACTCCCCATTTAACGCACCCCTGCACGTTTGACGAAATTTTCTCCCACAAACCACACTTAAAGACTACATTTTGCACCGATTGTACGTAGTTGCATTTATAATCACAGATTAACATAGAAAGGAACGTCTGCCGTAACCTTCGCAGTTCCACACTGCAGAGAGGATTTCAGTTGAGGAATATGTTACTGGCAACATATTAGTAGCATGTATGTTTAAAATGAACATTGTATGTATCGTTTTCAATAGGATAGTCAGAGGTATTGCCCATCACCCCAAGTATACTATGCTATACTACTCTACTATACTATGCTATTTGTTTAGGGTGCATTTCCTAACCCCTGTTCCTGAACAGGGCTGCTCGGACGTCCCAGATCGGGGCTTAGATTTAGCTTTCAGCTACCAGAAAAGGACGGTCACTTCTGCTTCAGTTGTTTGAATGATCTTTCTGGAGTACAGGCGGACCATCTACAGAAGCATCAGTGAGCGGGACATGTTGGATTATACGTGTTTATGATTATCTGATAACCCCCTTGTATTACGCTATACCAAATTAACTTGGCTCGCTTATGTGAACATATGACTGCCTAATTTCCTCAGGATCGCCCACTGTCCTTCTCGTCCAAAATCTGGTAAGGACGAGAGGATTTGCCAAGTAAAATTTGTTTTGGCCAAGATTGAAAGCATCTATATGGCATCCGATTAAACCCAAACCCACAGCGCAAAGGGCCTATAGATGCCAATATATCCCCACTGGCACTGTTCTACATACTATGTAAGCCACGCGTTGGATACGCGGGACCAACACAGGGACGAGATCGAAGTCCGGAAGAAGTTATTGGGAATACGCACCCAATCAATAAAAGACCTATAATAATAATGTTTATACCCTTGACTTATCCACACGTTCAACAGATATCACTGAAAGCCACTCGTCTGTGCTGGTTCATATGTAACAAGTCCACACTAAACGTGCTCAAAAGGCAACTTTTCAAAATGTATGTTTTAGCTCTCCTAGACTACTGCTCCATTTCCTTCGGCATAATGCCCCCAGATGGCCAAAAGAAACTAGAAGGCATTCAGAGACGCTTTTCGAGATTTTTGTCCCAATGTGATGGCACCCAGGGTTCATACTCAAAACTATATCATAAATACGGTCTTCGACCCCTCTGGATCAGATGACTCCAAAATGGTCTAAACTTCCTTTTCAAAGTCACAAATGACCAAGATATTCTCAAAATGACTCTACTAACAAACCAACACACCCTCAGAAACACCAGAAACAACGAAGATATTATAAGGATACCCAATTTCAAAAAGTCCCAACGATCAATTTTTTACCCCATAAGATATGCGGCTATCTGTAATGGCTTCCCAAGTTCTATCCGGAAAAGTTGAAACCTAATCGAATTTGAAATAAAAACTAAGAACTTCCTTTTAAATAACAATGCACACTTATTTTTGAATAAGATAGAACATTTTCCAAATCAATACTATGATATATAATTTGACCCAAAAGGGCTCTGATATGGCCAGTCACTTCAATAGCACCGGAACATAACTAAAAAACAGTTAACTTTGAGGTAGACGGCATCATTACTAATAATAGGACAAATAGAGATATCCGTTGGATTTTCCCTTTCTCATTTCCATCAGCCAACTCACCTGACACTAATTATTCCTGAGGAAGCTAATATTAACATGCATTTCGATAAAACCTTACATACTAGTAGTGCGTAAGGCTATATTGATCCCATATCAGACCTATGCGCAACTACACCAAGTCATACTAAAGAGTTGACAAATACTCCCATAATGTCACATTATCAAGAATAATATGCTACATGGTTCAATACTAGTTTGGTATCTTGGATTGTTACTTACGCCTGAAAGCTCATTGCTATTGATATATATTCATATTTTCCAGCTGCTAGTCCAAACAACCATAGTAAGCCTCCCGCGAAACACGACCGAACGGATCGACCAACTCTTAGCAAATGCCCAAATTGACTGACAACCTGTAAAGTCCAGCGTTCTTGGTGGGAGGGGGGGAACAGACTATGAATCACTCGAGTCTGTGTATAGCTTCCGCTTCTTGGTCACATAATCATTGAGAGTTCGTGCCTAAAGGATCCATCATGCAGACATTAACGAGCAGACATACGAGTACCTGGTGAGGACTAGACAACAGTTGCAAAATGTAAACAGTTTACTGAAGTGCGCGAGGCGACGTCTAGGTGAATACTGATACTACAAACTGAGTTGGCACGAACGCGAAAGCTAACAAACAAAGGAAAAATATTTAAGGACGACAATACTGCAAACTCGGTAGGTACAAGTGTACAGGCTGGACATGGAATGTGGAAAACAGAGAGTGGCGAAATTGGACAAGTGTGCAGATATAAATATAAAAGGAAGCGGATGGGTAGAAAAATATCGAAGGCTGAGCTAATCAAGCTGCCGATCGTCGTTGGCGGTCCGCACGTGTACAAGTGTCGCGACCGATCTACAACAAAGTGACCACCGATTAAAACAAAGTGGTTTCTATTCGTAAGCACTGCTGGGGTGTTACAAACCGGCAGCCAGCAGACACCGAGATCTATTTAACTCGAACACAACTTTATTGTTGGGCCGATATCAAAGTTCTTCAAGTTGCACGAAGGGCGAAGTGTTCATGACCGCAAATCCAAAAAATCTCAAAAATTCAATCTCAGTATTGTACTTTTTTCTAACTGTTATTCTATTTCATTGGAACTCCGGTTTTTTTGGCTTACAGCAAACTCTGAACTTGCGCTCCATAGACTGAGCAGACTCCAAAGACCTATGGAGTTAAAATGCAGTCCAAATAGATGATTTTGGTCTACGCTTTTTTTCCTATGTCTTAAGGGGGCAGACGGTGCCCAAGAAGTGCTCTAATAAACCTATTTTACAAAATGAAAACATTTTGGTATGGTGGTAGGCCCAGGTTTAGTTTGTTGTCAGTTTATATTGTAAGGAAAATAGGCACGGCCTTTGAAAACCCCATTGATTACATGTCAGCTGGTTTGGTACAACTGCACACGAGCAATGAAAGTCGTCGCTACTAACACGATATCCGATTCATTTGAGTAGCATTGTTTCAAAGAAAAAAGTTCCCGAGGATAGCGAGGTATTTCGCTCAGGTTCCGACTGTAGAGGGGAAACAGGGGACACAATCATCCAAGCGTTTCTTGAAGAATCGCAGGGACGTCGCCTAGATAACTGATTGAGGTCGATCGTTACATTTCTCCACCACCGCTTGTGGGAAAAATTCAGAACAAGGCTTCAGCCTGGACATTTTTGCGCGTATCTTCATCGAGTGGCCACGAAGATTGGGCGAAAGGTGCTAATCGAAGATGGTCTCAAAACTAAGTGCATGCTCAAGGCCATGTATTATCTTGTAGAATAGGGTAAGATCACCTCACTGCTGCCTGTAGCACACAGGGAATAAAATTAAACAGTTAAGTCTTTATATGTATGACTGGCCTTTTAAACCATTCACCAGCTCTATTGCACGATGTTGTACTCTTTCGAGGCACGTTTGGTCCTTCACCAGCCATGTTCGCCACGCTTATTTGCCATATTCTAAATGGGGTCGAACAAACATGCCGTAAACTCTCCTAAAAAGGTCCTTGTCAAAGGTTAAGGGCGTCCTTTTGATTGCATGGTGCACTCCCATGATGTTTTTTGCAGCCTTGTTGCACTGCAGTGTCGGCTTCATGTTGTTCTGTATCCAAACACCGAGATCCCTC